AGGCTACGTTTATTGCGAAAAGGATTGATCCTTCAAGATGACAATTCTCGACGACAAACAGCCCAAAAAACAGTGTGAGTTCTCAATTATACGGGCTAGGAGTTGATACAACCCCTCCGTAAAGTACAGACTTGGGCTCACACGGATTTCCCTCTCTTTGCGCCATTGAAGGTATCGATGGGAGGCCTGAAGTTGAAAAACTATGAGAAGGTTCAGCAGCATTTGCGTCATTTTATTCGGTCGGCTTCGAAAGACTTCTATGTGGCTGGATTTACAAAACTCGAAGAGCGATAGAAAAAAATGTGCGGAATAAGACGGTGACGAGAGTAATGGACGTGGCAAAACTCTAGCAACATATTTGCAGAGCAAAAAAGTCCTGGAATGCATTGTACGCTCATCGTAGTATGATAAGCCTGAGTATACGTTAAAAGCACATCATTCCGTTGAAATCATCGGCTTCTAATCTTTTTTCTTATATGTGCCGTTTGGAAACGTTGCTTAAAGCGGCAAAATAGTCAGAATGAGTATTCATTGAAGTTAGTTAACGCTTGACTAGGCGACATGCTACAGTTCTTTCATCTGTAGTTCGATATCCGGGCTGTTTGCGGTAGGGAATTTCTTATCTAATCTCATTGAAGGGGGAAGTTGTCTTCCCATGATGAGTCACCTAGTGCGTCTATCCCCCCATAGTCTTCTACTGCCCAAATGACTGCATGGCAACAAGACTGCTTGTGTTCTACTTGAACGAATAGCACTTGCATTCTCCGAAAAGGTAAGGACAGCAATATAGAAATAATATTAGAGAGCTAATCTAATGAACTTGAACTCCCTTAATCTGAGAAAATGTTTGTGTTTCACAGATATTGATAGTATACAGGACTTTGAAAAACTGTGAAAGCTATGGCCAAGGATTTCATGAACGAAAGAGCAGCATGAGTTCATGTTTTTTAACACACAAATCTTAATATTCAGAATATACACCATATTTATACAGTAGAGTACCCTATTTTTATAGTGTTTTTTATGTAAACCTTATTTTACCATATTCATATCATTCTCTTGATTTTAAATCCTTATCTTATTTTTAAGTTTCTTTTTAAATCCTAGTTATTGACTATCTCTTCTATACAAACCTGGCTGGGTTATATTTCCGAGAATTTGATTTGTTATATGCTTGAAAGACTGTCAATATTCAACTCTACGGGTCCGATTTAGTAGGGTTAGACAAATTTTTCGAAATCAGTCAACTTATATTGCCCGAGTTTTTCACTTCCATAGGTTTTCACTTCGATTAGGGTAACTTTGAGTAACACTATTGACCATTGACAATTTATATTATTATTTTAGATGCCGTATCAAAGGTTTCGGTTCATCGTGGGACGCGATTAGGCGAAAATGGCAATTGTCCTTCTTAATGATGTAATAATAGTGACGCTTATAACTTATGCCTGGGAAATTCATATTGTTTTTTTTGGCAGTGGTGGCATATCACCCAAGGGGTACATGCTTTTCATCAGAGTTTCTCTTTAATCTACATACATAACCTTCGAAGAAAAATGAACTCCTGGACAATTGTCTCTTCAGATCGCAGTTTCATGACAAACTGATATGAAACGATAACATATGCTCTGTTTCTAGGTTTTATTGTTCGGTAGTGTTGACAGTTCTCCAAAAAAAATGTGGCTCTTTACATTCTAAACAAAATTGAAGTGTCATTAGCTCTAAGCAGCTGAATCTGAAAAATTAATTTAAAGGAATTCAGGTTACGATTTTCAAGTGTTCTGTCAGGCTCTGCACTAATTTTGCAAACCGGACCTAATCTTGCGAATCAGCATTTTGCAACATTAATATTCTTAGGTGTCTAGGTTATCAATATCCATCAAAAACACACTCAAAAATTCATTCGGTAAGCTGTGAAGCCAAAGTTCATTGTCTCCTAAATCTGTACTGTAGATATAGAACCAATAAAAAGGTTCGACACTGAATTGTCCTAGAGGGCCATGGAATAGAGAATACGGCATGGCCAGACAGACGATGTCAGTACGAATGCTACTTTCGCCACAGGGCTCTATTTTTGCAAATGTCTTACCAAATCCCAATTCTTATAGAAATGTTACCCTTTCATTGGCAGAGACGATTAGATTACCGCAACAAATTTCTTTAAAAAGTGGCAGAGTCGAAGAGCGCACAATGAAAGGATCCAGCAATGCATTTCACTGGAACAGTTGTTCGTGTTTATCGCCTTCTTTTGAAATATTCTGCAGCACTGATTTTCACCAAAAGACCCAATATTCATAGGACTTGTTGCATAAGAGAGAGTATGTTTAAGTAATATAAAACCTAGGAATTCCGTGACATCATGCATCGCAACCTGAAAAAAGAGCGATTTTCCCAAAGAGTTACTATTAATAACTTCTCAATCATACTCTTGAGAGATTGGCAACATTGGTAACACCTCGTGTATCGAAATTTGAATATACAAAGCATATTTATTTTTCACTTTAGTCTTCCTTGAAAGTGGTACGATTGCAATGCAAAGAGAATCGGCATAACAGCTGTTGATATATATTACAGTGTCCAGGTTCTGGAACTCTGTAAGTTTCTTCTATGCGAGTTTCATCCATGACCTCATTCACACTAGTGGCAGGTAAACCTGCTGCATATCGGAGGAAACGAAATGCACTGTTGTTGTGGAAGGTATTAGCATATTCAGAGACTACCACCACAATAGCACCCAAACGTATTCAATGCAAGATGTATTTAAGTTATTGCCACCGTTTTTTTGACGTTTATAGGAGCGTTATATTGACTGCTTTAATGTACAGAATTTAAAGCGATGAAAAACAGTTCAAGTCATGAGTTCCCTGAACTACGCGAATTCACCAAAAACGTGAATTAGATACTTCCAAGGAAAGGATTCAAGAAAACTTTATTTCTTTAGGACTTATACAATATAAAATTAACGTTTTGGATACGTTCCTTTTTTTTTACTTAAATTGGATTCAGTCGGAGTGGAGCCTGCTCCCACGGGTGTGGTCAGAAAACACAATTTAGCCAATTCAGTCTTACAATGAACTCTTCAATCCTATCTACAGTTCCCTTATATTCAGGAATCAGATCCCCCCTTCACTGAATTCCCTTTTCCAAAGAGAGATGATAATAAGCATTATTGTCTTTTCTATAAAGTCACCTTAAATATTGAACCATCCTCCCTCCATATTTTGACAAAGAGTTCTTGGAGATTCCTTGGACTTGGTAACGTCGTATATACGATTTGTTCAAGAATCGATTATCTTCCTCTCTGGTTTATGCAAAGAAAGATCGTCTATCATGTGGAAGGTATGGCAGATTAATTTCAGATGTATAAGCAATGTAAACACTATAGCGATTACTTTGGCGCCATCTAGCGTCGGTTGTGGGAACCATTGAAATGCTCCAGGAAAACATCCTAAACGTCCGACGAATGTCATTCAAATGCAGCATGTTTCATGATTAATAGGAACTTTAAGCGAGTGCCAAAATGTGTTAGTTCTTGTATATTGAATGCCCAAAGACCTCTTTGAAAACACGTTGAACGTCCTCGAGAGCCTTTACATACTACTTGGGCAATGTCATATGTATAAAGCCTGCAGGTCTCATCTGACCCTTGATTATCCTTGGCACTCGATAATGTGAATGGAGCATTGTGACAGCGAACAAAAAGAAATCGCCCCTATGTCATCATGAACGCTTAAAGTATCTGCATCCCCTGCAGCAGGCACGAGGCACTGCAGTGAGCAATGCCACCGTTCCCTTGAGAGTAGAAGGGCAACTCCCTTCTCGTTCTTCCGAGAGATAGCGAGACGAGAGCGAATCTTCGATTTTCGGTGAAAGTATCATCCCCTTCCTTTCTTGCGACCGATTTTCAAATTTTATTTCGAAAAGACACATCCTCTGATGATATGGAAGGATTCTGTCGAAACCCCATGATCATATATCAAGCGGCTGGCCTGTAGAGTTATCACACACGCGCGCACACACACACACACAAACAAGCCCTTGTCAAGCCCTTAAATGTTTCCCAACACAAGAAAACACGGGTCAGTATGGGTCAATAGTGCTGAAAGCCCAGACCGGGCTCCACACGTATTTTGTCAAGGAAATGCTGCCCCAACGCGTCGAAATGCATCTGGTATTAATGCGTCTATATCTCCTTTATCAGTTTGGTGGTCCATCTCCAAAAGATAGCCGATAAAATTGATATTAATATATTTCAGATTCCCCGAATTGAGGACAATTCAGTAAATACGGCATTAATAATGCCTAAACAACACAATGATAGGAATACTTTTTTCAAGCACGCGAATTTAAACAGTATTTCCGTTTCTCGTGTAAGCATGCACATGGGTAAACCATAAGGTTTGGACATCACAACATGAACCGATTGGCCGTTTTTAGGGATTACGTGTTTTCCAATGAAAATACCAAATTCTTGCTCGTTCAAGACTTTCTACTAGTCCAACTCACAGGTAACCGCATGGGAACCCACTAGCTTTGAATTTCAATATTATAAAAGGAATTAAGGTCGCTCGTGAAACCGCCGCTGAAGATATGGTTGCATATATGTCACCAGAAAATCTTCCCAATCTCAAAATGACACCTATAACGGTTTCCATGTTTTTCCATCTCACTCTATTCTAGGAGTTAGGAAGGGTTAATGAATCCATAAGTAAAATATATTTGCGGTGACATTTCTTTTAGGATATGGAATTTCTATCACAGCAGTTGTCCAAAATCAAGGAGGACGCCAGAGCATTGAAGGAAACTATCACAGTCCAGACGTTGGTTCACCATCTAAACATTTTCGAACTCTTAATAGGGAATGCCTTACAGTCTCTGCATCAAAACCCATCCTATGCTGGATGGATCTCGGAAACCTCATTCTCTCCTAATCGCCTTCGAGCATGGATGGAGAAGAAGGCGGCAGAAGCCAGGAACATTACTTTTCTCTTAAGGAATTTCCATGATTCAGGAGTGCAAATTCGCTATTCATTACATCCATTCCAAGATGAGGGAACAACAACTCTGTACTTCTTCTACAAAGGCCTCGATCTGACAGATCCATTTCTTGATAGTTTGAGAAGATGCTTGAATGGAATTCAAGAAACTATTCCTCCAGAATCGATACCTTCACTTTTCGGATCTCCCAATGAAGTTCAAGTGTTACTTGAATATCAATTAATCTTTCTTCATTACGTACGGGCTCATGGGAACATAGCCATTAAATTCGTGGCAGTAGAAGCGGTTGGACTTGACAGTGCCTTTTCGATTATGTTGAATAATGGTGGAAGTGGACGTCCTGAAGTGTTCATCCCTCCTGGAGAACCTTCACAAGTTCTAGTGCAGGCTTTCCCAGCTACTGGAATCCTCGAAGTGCATTGGAGTGAGCCATTCATCGGTGGAAACAACGTCACGGAATACGTCGTTTGGTTCAGAACCGACAGGGATCCGCCAGAAAATTGGAATTTAATTCGAACAACTACATCACCGGGGACAATTCATGGAATTATTCCTGGGCTAAGGTATTCCTTCAAGGTCGGGCGTAATTCGTTCACTTATGTCATTTACGGTGTAGAAAAGCTTTTGTGTGATAACCATTTACAATATATCTTGTACAGGTGAGTGTCACGAGTTGTCTTGGATCAGGACCATTTAGTTCGACTGTCAATTGGGAAATTCCATCGATGAGATTGCATTCTGCACATCCGCAACCACCTACTGTCCATTCTCCCCTTCTGGTCGACATAGAACCAAACAGTTTAGCAAGTCAATTTTCATTCCCTGATCGAGTAATAACAAGCCGACATACAATCCATGATCCAGTCATGACACGCCAAAATTCAAACCCTGATCAAGTCATAATACGCCAAGATTCAATCCCTGATCAATTCATGATACGCCAAAATTCAATCCCTGAACAAAGCAATCAAGAACTATGGACCAAATGCAGGTCGCTTCAAAAGACTTCCTGGAAACCTGCTGATGTCTTAAGGGAAAGAGGTACCCGTAGTCACCATGCGAGGCCTGTGTATCAAGTGAAAACAGAGTATACAATGAAGGATCCAGACAGCCGAACAGCGAAGTGTCAGCTGTCTTTTGACTCCATTCATCGGGACAAAGAGGAAAAAGTCATCATTCTCCTCGGTGCCACTGGAGCGGGTAAGAAAACCTTATTTTCCTAAGAGAATGCCAACCAGGTGTTATGGACCCCATTTTTTATAAAGTGGACACACCTGTGATGGTAAACTGACTCGGAATCAGAAATGTTGAACTATATTTTGTAGCCTATAGTGAGTGGTTGAAAAATGCATACATTTAACCACTGATGCCCGATACACTCAAGGTCATTGATCCCATGATGCCGCCGTCAGTCACTTTGTAACTATTCATATTCTCTGCAATTTTTTAAAGAACTAAATCGTTTGTATTCCATGGGACTTCCAGTTCGATACATAACATTTCTTTCATGGATCGTTGTGAAGCCCAATCGTCATGAAATCAGTTCATATTAAATTTACCCATCCTATCCTATTTCAAATCTCGACGAAAATTGAAGAGTGTGAGATACAATTAATTTCTTCCACCGCCTTAAGTGGCCCTTTTGAATGCGAGTGATCCTGATGGATTGCTCCGTCATAAAATTTTGAGGGAATTTTATTTTCATATTTTGAAATATGTCTCTAGAGGTCGCATCATGGGAGGGAAGTATCTGAAGACTTATTTTTCGCTGTTACAAATAGGAACAAATTAAGACAGGTCATTGCAACCGGTGTGCCGTGACAAAGTCCCACATATGCCGCAATATTTTCGGAATTATAGGAAAAGAAAGGACATATTTCATCATTCTCAAGCTACATATCCCACTATACCATTACATATCCCACTATCCCATTACATATCCCACTATCCCATTACATATCCCACTATCCCATTACACATCCCACTATCCCATTACATATCCCACTATCCCATTACATATCCCACTATCCCATTACATATCCCACTATCCCATTACATATCCCACTATCCCATTACATATCCCACTATCCCATTAGCTAGGTTATTTGGCCGTGGGTCAACCCTACACATCCGTGGTCGCGACCCTACACATCCGTCGCTGTGAAGGACTTCATGTCCCAGGGTAACATCACGACGCTATTCTAAAGCCATCTTCATCTTGGACTTCAATCTGTGGGACAGTTTCCTCTTTCACTGGTAGAAGATTGACTTCGAGAAGAGTCCTGAACGACTATTTTGAAGTGAAGGAGATCGCATTGTAGAGGACGTTGAAAGAGGAGGCGCTCAAAGAAGCTTCACAGTCAAGATGTCATAGACTGGAGGGGACTAAATTACAAATTAAAATAATCTATTATCAGCCATTCCCATAGGTACTACAGAGAAATGATATATATTGCGGTCGGTTTACCACTTTTTTTCCTTTTTCATTCCGACTGTCCGCAGTAACCATAGCGACCGGACTACGCGATCCAATGCGCACGCGCAGCTTTCCGCCTGTGTCGGGATGCCCGTCTTCCACGAAAGCGTCCACTTCCCTTGTAGCACTTGGGGGTTGACGGATTCAAAGTTGGCAATGGAAGAGAGCGGCTGCTCCCGGCTGCGTGTACAGGGTTGCTGGGCGCACACGTAACATGCCGTATCAGGCATCCTACATTTCATACTGTCCTCCCGTCTCCAGCCGATACGGACGCGCGGATCATCGAGAACATGTCTAGTGGTCCAGGCCTTTTCATATTGGCCTATGCCGTACCAATGAAAAATATTATTTATTTCCAAGTTGGATGTTTAGGATGCGGCGATTTAATAAAATAATTTCTGTGGTACATGGACCAGTGGAATGCCAGATCTGTACCTGGGCTGGTACTCTAGTTTTTTTCATACCGTCAGTCCGCAGTAACCATAGCGACTGGACAACACGACCTAATGCGCAAGTGCAGCTTTCCGCCTAGGTCAGGGTGCCCTTCTTCCACTAAAACATCCACTTCCCTTCTAGCTCTCAAGGGCGACGGATCCAAACTAGACAATGGGAGAGAGCGGCTGCTCGCGGCCACGTAGACAAGGCTCTGCTAGGCGTACGCATGAAATGTCGCATCTCGCATCTTGCACTTCATACTGTCCTTCCATTTCCACGCGACGCGGACTCGGACGCGGCCATGGAAAACACAAGTTGTCTGAGACTTTTTATTTAGGCCTATGCCATACCATTGACAGTTTTCCTATATATACATATATATGTATTACTAGCGAGTTTATTACTAGCGAGCATTGTCGGGCCTTCGGCGCTCTATTACCAGGGTAGTGATTCATTCAATAATTTATTTTCAAAGTGGCAAAAACCTATTAAAAGTATGTGCCCATTGGAATGTGTATCGAGAAAGAACAAACCGATATTTTCATCGGAATAATTACTTACATTGTTTCTTGTGTGCCTAACTTCAAATCTCTTCATAATCTGCCCTGATGGGTCATATTTGAGAAGTGGGACATGTACTCAGCAATCGAACAGGTACTTCTGCTCAAACTTTCAACTTTCTTTAGCTCTCTCCTTCATTGCATCAGAAAAGTTTCCGGAAAAAGCACCTTTTTAAGAAAAATATTCCCCCAGGTCAAATATCCAAAACTTGACATTTTTCTTGAAATTTGTGTCTTTATAGGCACGTCCATGCCACGCTTCAGTTTTCCATGTCTCTGCGTTTGACTGAAGCAAATATATATCATTGAAAACATGCCCCCCCAAAATGGGTGCCCCCAGGGCGTGTACATCCAGAGTCCGATTTTTTCTTCACTCTGCATCCTAAAAGGTACATGTGTTTCAAGTTTCAGATTTCTAACTTCTCTAGAAGATGATTAGAATTAGCGTCAGTCAATCACGATCATCTATATATATTACATGCTTGGACGTCTGTAGCTCCGCAGTGGCATGTGCGCATGCGCGGCGCTTTCTTCTGCCCTGCTCCAGGTTTCACTCTCGTTCTCTCGAGCTGGCACTTTCCTTCCGGCCATTGTGACAGTCAAATACATTCACGAGAACTTTATCCCCCGGGGGGGAGGGGGGCGAGGGAAGAGTTTAGATGGCATAGCAAAAAAAAAAATCAATCGATCGGCCAAGAACCGATCCCAGAGCCTCTTATTATGGCGGACAAGTATGATACTTTTCCACTGCATCACAGAACCATATACGATCAGCTTTTCCTTTCCATGCTATCCATAGCACTACAATGGGAGAGATGTATTCTACGCACACACCCCCGCTCCCTATACGGACTTTTCAGCAGGGACGTGTAAAACGTCCCCACGTATTGCACTCGGAGACCCCTTTCATCCTTTAAGGAAATATGAAATCCACACCGGGATGAGATCTATTCGTTATATCATCAGATCATATATTCATCAGAATCTCGACCCCTTCATCAATCGGAACCCCGTATTTTTATTGATCATCATTCTCACAAGGAGAGTGACTCCCGAGGGTGAAAACGGCGGGATCCCACATGTATGGAACAGGAACCCTTGGATCGGAAAGACGCCGTCGGTCGCGAAGTTACCATCCCGTTTCTGTAGCGTATATTTCACTCATATGCCTACATGAATGTGGTAGAGATGGACTTCACCGACGATACGTACATCGTTGAGATCGATACGGGATAAAAATGCCATTCGATAAAAGTCCGTATCGTAGGCGTGAACACCCCCGTCAATAAAAGAGGGGGGGGATGCGCAATACGTATAATGGCAGCGGATGAGGGGCAGAATGTTAATGGGGACGCTGACTGACATGATTTGACTGATTCACTGAATATCCAAAAATGCTACACGCTTAGCCTAAACCGACTCAGAGTTCATGGATGTATTTCCATTTCTCCGTCTCGCTCCCGAGCGAGTAGTTTCTTTCGAGTCTTCACGACTGTCGGATTCATTCTCGAGAACGGGGGAGAGGCTGCCGCGTATAATGTTCAAGTGCTGACTGAACTCATGGATTCACGACTATGTTCAGGTCCGTAGGGGGGGAGGGGCAAAATGGGCAATTTGCCGCGTGTTCCTTGCCGGGGGGGGGGCATCGCGGATGATCTATGTACTATTGTTTATTAGTGTAGCGTTCGTTCGCAATGGAGAGTTCAAACACACTCAGTGAGTGTAGTTGAAGCGGTAGGGAGGGGAGAAGAGTGGATAGTGGGCCCTTACGTGTATATTGCCCTAGGCCTCACCATTAATTTTGGCGACCCCGTGTTACACGCTCAGTCTAGGCCAGAAATGTCAAACTTGACTTAGCTGGCGGCCGGGTAGAACCCTTCGGGAGTGGTTGGGCGCACATCTTGCAACTAAGTTTCAACCGCCAACATTGTCTACTCTTTAAAAACCAACTGTTGAAGAGGACATTGTAGGCCGGACGATATCAAATAGTTTGACACCCATGGCCGAGACCGAACCGAAGTTCGTGGAAGTCTTCCATAGGTCATTTTCGAGAACGGGATGGCGGTGGTGCTGCTTTATATCGTTGAGGGGGCCGCTGAGTTTTAGCGCTGCTGACTTGGGAATTCCCAAGAAAAGTTCGTGAAATATATCCGCGGATTGGGGTGCTCTTCTCACGCTCGTACTTTCTCTCCGTGCATCGCAACAGTCGGATCCGTTCTTGAGAATAGGAGAGTCATTGTACGACTTGCGCATCCCGCTACCCCACCCCCTCCCATAACTAAGGGATATCCACACCTCAATATGAGCTTTCATGCAGGAAAACCAGCACAAAATACTTGGAGTCCCGTTTTCCTCTGTGCGAAGGAGAGTAACTAGGGGGTGAAAGCAGCGGGATCCCATCAGGGTGGGCTGAACAGGATGGCTTATTCTTAGATCGCAAGGATCCCGTCGGTTGGGTCGTTACCATCCGGTATCCATAACCGTTTATTTCACTCATAGGCTTGCACGCAAAGTGATGGAGATGGTCTTTACGGACGAAGCGAACAGTGTTGTATTCAATATTGAAAAGGGCCGTAAGGGCGAAGTAGTCGTCCTCCCTTCAGCGGGATGAAAGGGAACTCAAAGGATTGTACGTGGGGACAAGTAAGGAATGGGAAAGAATGGCTGCTATGAGAGCGCTTCTTGGTTTTAGTGCCGCCAAATGAACTCGGGATTTCTTGCCGAAGAGTTCGCGGAAGTCTTCCCCGGGTCGGCTGGTATATATTTTAATGTTGGGTTGTTAGGATGCGGCGAAAATGATAAATCCAATGGTTCAGAGTCTTGTGGAATGGCAGATCGACTGATACTCTCTAGTTCGTTAATTTTAATTCAGTTATTTTCTATAATTCTCACACTAGTAATATTAAAATCTGTGCATAAAGGAATAATTGCAATGGACCATTTTGCGAAAAAAAAGAAGTCTCCATTTGTTTTATGTCGCTAAAATTAGGCAAACAATGACTTCTCCCAACCAGATTAAACTTCAAGTCACAATAGAAATACCTCTGATTCAAAGAGAACCACATTAGAAGGTGTGACCATTGAAAACGGGTGCTTCAAATGGCAACGTACTTTCCTGTTCCGATGGGCCGATGGCACGCCAACCGCGCTCCATGGAACTCTACGGCGCTCTACAGATGCAATTCGCGAATTTGTTTGCCTTTCCCGGAAACAACGTTGCTAATAAGGAATTATTTTTAATGGCAACTTTCCAATTCCGAGACAGTCGACTTTCGCCGAATCCCGAAAACGTGTTCAGTAGACTAAATCAATTTAATGAATAGGGAAAAGCACTTTGGTGAATGCACTCGTCAATCACTTTTACGGCGTGGAGTGGGAGGACTCCTTCCGGCTGGAGCTGATTCCCGATACTGAGAGCAGGGAACCAAAGGCACTCAGTCAGACATCCTGGATAACCGCCTACACACTTCCTTGGCAAGAAGGATGTCAAGCCCCCTACAATCTCACAATCGTTGACACTCCTGGGTTTGGTGACACAACGGGATTGGTGGGGGACAAGAGCATCACGACCCAGCTACAGACGTTCTTCACTAAAGGAGAAAGCGAGGGTCTAGATCATCTAAATGGGATCGGATTTGTGCTTCAGGCGTCCAACTCCAGATTGACCCCAACGGAGAAATATATAATGGACTCCATACTATCTGCTTTCGGAAAGGATGTCGTCAACAGCATTTACTTGATGATAACATTTGCTGACAGTAAGAGTCCACCTGTTCTCAATGCTGTCGAGGAATTGGACATACCCCACGTGGGGTTCTTCTGCTTCAATAATTCAGCACTATTTACATTCAGTGACGCGAATGACTCTGACACATACCGCTTTGATTCAATGTTTTGGAGACTAGGAGCAAGCAGTTTCTCAAACTTTTTTGCCAAATTCGAAAAAGCAATGCCTGTAAATCTCCAACTCAGCAAGAAAGTTCTCCAACAAAGACAAAATCTTGAAGCGACAATTCAAGGAATCCAGAATCGAATTCAAGATGGTGAGTATGATTCTTTCGTCTCTGAATTACTAATCTCTTTCAACTTGTGCGCATGTTTACCCTTTCTCATTTCTGTTTGAAGTATTTTTACCTCGGAATCCAATTTCATAGATTGTGCGGCAAAACCAGTCATGTACAATTTTTCGCGAAATATTTATCATTTTGGAAGAAGATGGTACTACTAGTATGACATAAGTATATTTACGCGCAAAGATGAATCAGTTCTAAAGCGGCATAGATTAGTATGTGGCTGCTGGTTACCTATAGAATAATGAACTTCTGACTCAGTGATGCGACCAATGCATGTTTGTAAGACGTCATGATACTTAATTTCAACAAAGGAGATTCAGTTCCGTGTCAGTGACTCAAACCTATAACTACAGACTTCGCTTTGTAGGACTCATGGTAATTCGTATATTATGAGTAAGCAGTCGCTTAAAAAAAATAGAATGATTCATGTGTGTTTGTCTTATTGCTACTTGTTCTGGAGCAGAATGCGTATTCATTCTTTACAGCCCTGAATCAGCTGAATACAATCAGAATTGAGATGGCTATACTGGAGCAGAGAAAAGCTGATGTAAACGCCAATAAAAACTTTACTTACCAAGCGCAGGTGACGAAACAGAAGATAGTCTACTTGAAAAAAGGTGAATACGTTACAAATTGCTTAAGATGCAATTTCACCTGCCACTTCCCATGCACGGTGCCAAACGACGATCGGAAAGGAGAGTGTGATGTCGTAGATCCAGATACAGGTTATTGTATGGTTTGTCCTTTCAAATGTCACTTTAGGGAGCATGTCAATAGTCAGCATCGATTCCAGACATACACCGTCGAAGAAACGAAGACAATGGATGACCTGAAAAACTCTTATGGAAAGGCGCTTCAGGGAAGGATGACTGCCGAGAAGTTAATGTTTGCCTCTCGACAGAAGTACGAAGATATATTAAATGACACCATGGATCTTGTCTGCGATGCCCATCAGAATCTCTGCGAACTGGATAAAATAGCCCTGAAACCGAATCCCTTGGCCATCGGGGACTATTTGGATCTCTTAATCTCATCAGAGAGCAACCAAATAAAGCCCGGATGGATGGAGAGAGTAAGAATACTTCGGGAAATACGGGATAATATTGGACAAGGAAGGATGGCGCCTGGCAGCAGGAAAAATCATCGAAATTCAAGACAGAAAGCTAAGACGCCTCGCGACTTTCCAACCTCCAATGTTTACGGCATGGTTTCCAGTGACGACGAACACTCTGACGAAGATGCACATCCTGGTGAAGTATCAGTAAGTAATCAGTAATACTATATATTCCCTCACGCTCCCTGTAATTTGATTTTCTAAAGCAAACATCAGTTCTGTTCAGACTTTATTCCACTTTGAAATATGTTTTTCTGAGTTTCAATACATAGACGCTGCGGTAAATACAGTTTTGCTAACTGTAGCCATTCTCAGAGAGAGATCGCCCTTGCCTTAATGCGGTAGACCTTCCGCTTTTAAATATTTAGGGCTTGAAAGAACGATTCAATGCTAAAAGTAGAGAAGGTTCAGATGAATGTGAGGTAGCGAAAAAACCATTGGGAGCAATCGTTTGCTTTCCGAAAGACTCAAATACCATTTAAGACATTAGTGACTTTACCATGTTGAAGAAAAAGCGCAAATTTTAAAGGATTGAAAAGTAACTCCCAATTGGGGGCAGAAAAAATAACTTGCATTACTTTTACAGGGACCCTAGTATTTATATAATGTTTTATGCTGTTATTTCTATAGCCTGAACGACTATTTTGTTACATGATATGTCTTACAAATTTTTTCACGAACCTGACCGCAATTAAAATCGAATAACAGCTTGCTTATGTATATCATACAAATAGGACTCTTCCTAAGGGTTAGTAATGACTTTAGTGAAACTAGAACGTTATTTCTTCAAATCACAAAGACAAAATTGTGAACCTTCCTATATGATCTTCCCCAACAGCCAAAAAAACTATTAAAAATCTGAATCGCGCTACTCACATCGCAACCCAACGGGCATGTTTCCGAACGTTAACGGTCTTATGTCACGCTGCACGTACTATTGCTATGGGAGACCCACTGAGCTACTAAATAATTGGAGATGACGCACCCGTAGAAACAATATAGGCATGCGCGCTGCAATTGAAGCCATACTGTTGGGCTTATGGCGTCTAGTCACCATTCACTCCTATGGGATTCTCCCCGATTTTTAACCTCAACTTTCTTCTAAATACTAATTCGCCGGAAAACAGCCCCACACAGCAGGCACAATAGGTTATCAGAGGAACCAGTAGGCCCTATTGGGTCGTTCCAATACTTCTTTTTATCATGAGAATGGGTATGAAACTTCAGTTTAGGCTCATGGCAGAAGAGAGAGATTGGGAATAGGCCTTAGCAAAATGCCGGCGATTCACGTGCGAAGTAATTAATAGAGTTCAAAGCAGACCTGAGGTGCGCATTGGCGGAGTAAAGAGGCACTAGGGTACCACGGGATTATTGGAGCGTCCCTACTGAATACGGAAGCATGCCCTGGCAAGACCCGCCAACACTTCGGCCATGCACCTCGTGGTCGCCCTTCGTCTTCTTTTTTCTATGTTTGCCTTTGAACGTTCACTTCTCAAATAAGCTTCAGTTCGTTTGACGTTCGTTTCACCGCCCTACGCCCAGCTCCCCCCCGTCTCCAAAGGGGTATTCACGCCTCAAAATGGACTTTTAATGAGTGCTATTCGTATCTAGGATCGATCGCAATCGTGTGCGTATGTCTGTAAAGTTCATCTCCACCACTTTTCATGTTAGCCTATGAGTGAAAAATAAGGATGGAGGATTGCTAAGCATCGGCATCGACGGCATCGACGTCGATGTCCAACAGTAAGTGCTACTGTTCCATACAGTACAGGTGGGATCCTGCCCTTTCCACCCTTGGGAGTCAATCTCCTTGTGAGTGCCGATCAATTAGTGGACAGGGTTCCGATTGACAAAGGTGTCGGAATCTCGATAAATACAGTGACCCATTTGAAAAGTTTACCGATGAATGGCCGTGTACAAAAGGAACCACTGGACAGAAGAAGCTGAAACTTGGCATGTAAACAGATTAAATATGTGCTTCTCGAATCCGTATAAAAATAAAATATAAAAAAATTACAAATTGGAGTGTCAAAGGTCGCACCACCACTTGCGCTAGTCACGTGGACAATTGCAAAGCAAACCGCAGGATAAATGAAGCTGAACATTTTCTTTCAAAAACACGTTTCATCAATTTCCACATGTGCAAGGAACTTCATTGCAAAGTTATAACGCCTCTACATGTCGGCAGCTAACAAAGGCTGAACTCGATGAATCCGATATGGAAACAGCAGAAGCCCAATTTCCATCGTCCTCCGAACTGTCTCTACCGGTATTTCAGGGCGACGTGCAACAGCCCTTGCACTGACAATACCAACATGCGATGTCGCACGTTCCTCCTTTTCAGTCAATGCCACTTCTGCAGCCATGTCTTCGGAAACCGTACAACCTCTTCTATTCTTCAAATTGACCATAGATCCCGCCTATTTAAATTTTGCCACAAATTTCCCAACGCTGCTTGCGAGCGTGGACCTTGGTGCATGTTGTGGCCTCGATGGTACTACCTTAAGGCGGCCTCCGCATTCCTCCCATTTTCGTAAAACTTCTGTATCAGTTCGACCCTCGCAGTGAGCGCAAGCATATTGACTTGCACCGGTTAGGTTCCGTACTCTTCCAGTTCGGGGTCATCCACTGATCTTTTATACTGTTCGCTGGCCATGTCACATGCTCTGGTGGTGCCATCTTATGGTACTCTTTTTTTTCCACGGATTTGAGAAGGCCATACTTCAAATTGTTTACATGCCAAGTTTCAGCTTCTTCTGTCAAGTGGTTTATTTTGTACAAGGCCATTCATTGGTCAACTTTTCAAATGGGTCACCCTGTACCTAGGCGGAGATCTCATCCGGACAGGGAAGTTACTCTTCCTCCGAAGATGAAAGGGGACACCAAGCGTAATAAGCGGGAACGTTTCACACGTCCCTGTGTCTCACGTCCCCTACCCCTTAAGTAGTGAGCCGGGGGGGGGTTGATGTGCATAGAACGCCCTTCTCTCCCTTTGTAATGTTAGGGATGTAGATATTCAATTGAATATTCTGGGTTCGGTGGTGTAATGGTTGCAAACTCGACCGTCGATTAGGAGGTCCTGCATTCAATTCCGAACTCCTCCGTCATCATCTTTTCGTCCTTTTATGTTATCTGAACTCTCCCCCGGGTCGGCTGGTATATATTTTAATGTTGGGTTGTTAGGATGCGGCGAAAATGATAAATCCAATGGTTCAGAGTCTTGTGGAATGGCAGATCGACTGATACTCTCTAGTTCGTTAATTTTAATTNACATTTCTGCAAAAATGTTGACATTTTCTTGACAATGGTTTGCGTAAAAATGATATAAAATGGACAAAAACTTTACATTCATTTTACGTAAAATTAACATAAACATGCTGTTTGGGAGATCAGAAACTCGCAATGGCAGGGGAAAAAATAGCGAACCGGAGAGAGGAAGAAAGGAAGAAAATGTATGAGAATGGTATGCGAGTAAGGATTCATCAGTGCGTTAGGCCTAGGCCTGCGAAATCAGCCGCGCGAAAAAATGCCTCCAGGGGATGTTCCTCCTACCTCCAAAGGAGTTTTTCTGGAGTGAACAACCTAATAGTTTTTTGTGTCCCAAGTTTCACCCTCTCCATGCCTACAGGTAGAACGTGGTTAGGATCTTTCATGTATTTAAAGTTGAAATTGAAAATCATACAATATTGTGGGAGCATAGGAAAATGAATAATAATGACTTAAAACAGGTAACCTCAAGTTCTTCAATGACATCCGCCTATAAATAGTAATGTGGTGTCTCAATGAACATTGTCTAATTTCTATTAAGTTCCACCGCTTTATCGGAAAGCGCCAAGCTCGCATGGATACGGTTATGTAAAAAATTAGTACCCGCGAAGTTTCCACATCCTTTCGCGCCGCCATTGCGTGTCATGAGAGATTGTTTTCCAGATGAGCGAACAAACTCACAATTGTCATGTGAAAATTAATGCATTAATACCGATAGGCAAAATGCTGCAAAGAAGGGTTAACCTCACCTAACGTGCTACAAATTTTCAAACTTCTCAGCTTGAGTAAATTTATATATTTGAGTGCTACTGTCACCAACTTTCTCTTAAAAAAAAGTATTTAAGCGAATTGGGCTTTCGGGAAAAAAATCAGTTTTTCGTAAACCTTTTTTGCTGAACGGGGGAAGAATGATTTACACTCATGTTATTGATACCTCCTGACAATGACCATAGATACCACACAGGAAAGACAGAGGTCGTGTCTAGATCCGATCGGGTCGACAAATTGGATTTCTTAGAAACTGATGAAAACCTGATAATCAATTGCTTTCTCTTTTACTTTCAGGGATTCAGGAGCACCCCAGGATCTTCACAGGAAAATATTACTTTTCTGAATGTGCCGTTTCTTGAAGCGACAGCATATAAAGATAAATTCGTAAAATACAGCATCGCTTTTAAACACCAGAAATTTCCATATCGGGAGGTTCACGTTCTGCTCACAGGAACTTCCGCAAAATGTGAGTCCTACCCTTTGATGCCATTTTTTAGTATTGTAAGTTTAGGATGACAAATATTGATTCGATTTTTCGCGTTGGAAAGGTATCGTTGACTTCGTGACTGGACTCATTCATGTCTCACTGGAGGTGACATGGAATGACCGTCGACGATATGTAATTAAGGATTTCCTTCAACCTGAGAGTCAGGTCCTGGTGCTTGAAACTCCTCTGATTAAAGAAGAAACTACGTTGAGGATCATCTGTGTACAACCAGGAAAATGGGATATTTATAAAGACCTTCGTCTAAATGAAGGTGATATTGGTTCCATCCTTGGCAATCTTTCTGCACTGTGGATTGCTATGCCAAGCACCAAGCCAGAACTGCCGCATCAATTGTTGAATTTCTGCGGCGAAATTTGTCGTTATATAAGAGAAATGCCGATACATGTTTTGAACACCGGATGTGATGGCAGCATTTCACCTTCAGTAAAGGAACTTTACGGCAAGTTTCAGGAGCGTGGGATGGAGTTCACAGAGCTCCATCTCTTCAATTCATCCATGCTCTCTGAAGGCATTCACCCATATTCAAAACTAATACATCCCAGTCAAATGTTCGGACAAAAAATGTGGGAAGCGAATGAGAGCAGTTACAGTCACCTCTTCCGAAGAATGCGGCATTAGTCCCTCATATACAGTACTTCAGGTATGCTTGATTGCGAGACTTTGAGCTTATTTCCTTCATTCCGTTTTGCGATATATTGTATAACTTACACTTGACAAATTCGTTTTTCGTCCATATGTTTGTGACTGAGAGGAGGAAAGCGTTTCTTCATTTGGATTGTTATGACGCCATTAGAAAGAAAAATACTGAGCCTGTCCATTTGTGCCAAATGCCACATGTAGAGTAATATCATAAAAGTGGTCACAGGTCATAAAAATAAAAATGACGAGTTGACATATGAAGGCAGCAGTATTTAGCCTTAGGCAGCGAATGAAAATTCACTTAGCCTAAGTATTGCATACTTTCTACGCTAGTGACTCTGAACGAAAAAAATGTTGCGAGCGACAATCCATGAAATCCAGGCTCATGCGAACTTCTTCTGGTGGTCCTTTTTCTGTGACGTATGTGACCCATACGTTTTGTATGTGTTCGTTTCATACAACATTCAAGTTTTGAAGCAGATCACAATCATTAAACCTCTATAGGTGCTTAACGCCCCAATACAATCATATATTTATTCAAGAAGTGTTTCCAGGTCGTATCTGACACTGCTGAGTGCAAAAATTAATGCAGCATACCCCGTCACGATAGAGGAGTTTGGGCATGTGATGCAACATCAGCAGAAACGCAATACATGCTTTGACACGATAATTGCAGATATTACGGATGTTCAGCTAGTAGAAGGACCTCCTCTTAAATAGATGCCCCTCATCTGGAGCATGCGACGTTCTGACATGCTTCGGGTGAGGTATAAGTGGTTAGAACAACCACTTATACCTTATAAAGGACTGCAGCCCATTCTTCCTTTAACGCATCGGTCAAGTCGTCGAGTGTTCGCGCTGTGTCCTGACAACTGTCCATACGGCGCTGTCTCACATGCTCAACAGGGTTGCAGTCTGGGGTTGCTGGCCACACCACTCACACAATGTGTGAGTGGTGTTGAAAACTCCCTAAAGGGAGTTTTCAACAAAGAGAGCAATAAGCATAATATACCTTCGAAAGTGACCCCGAAAATCATAAAGCCTTCTCTAAACCTCTCTCGAGACGGTCTCTGCACTCCCAGGTGTCCGTTTTCATGGTGGAGAGTAAAACAGGGACTTTTCGGTGAAGAGTCAGTTAATGCATTCGGCACACCCAATGCCCGAACTCAAAGGTGAAGCGAAGACGTTGGAATCTGTGCTACAGTGACAGCAGTGAATGTCGGGCAGGTCGCCTGGACCTCATATTCCATGCGCGCAGCCTTATTTTTACTATCTACATCGAAATGCGGACATTTGCAGTTGTTAGGAACGCTTTCTGATGCCGGGTGACGTTCAATGTTGGATGACGTCAGACAGACACCCTCACGTACCGGTCTTGGGTGTAATGAACCGCTGCTGATCTTCACCATGTCAATATTCAAGTTAATTCGTCGTTTGTCATCGCAGAAGTTTTGCGTTTTGTGTCGTGAGGACCGAATTAAGGGAAGGTTTGGATGGCATGAGAGGACGAAATAAAGCCAGAGGACGGCCGAGAATTGAGCTCGGACCTCCTGCTTGACGGTCAGGTGTGCTACCACAACACGACCAGACATTCCGTCGTGCCTTTTCCAGCCATACCCAACACTTCACACGTGCGACTAAACACTGTGACGACCCAGCTTACTGCACACCAAGCGTACGATGCAGGTCCCCAGGTTCTCGACTAAGTAAAGGCATATTTAGCAGTCCTAGACGCGAATACGAATGTCTTGAAGCGGACGTGAGGCTGGAAAAGAACAGGTTCATTCATGTTCCTGCGTGGACAATTTGTACCGATCTCTCGATTTTGGGGGTTACCCGCAATTTGAACGACTTTTTTAAGAGTCAAATTGGTCTCCGAATTATTGGGTACAAAGTGGTTCGAAAGTACATGCTTAAAATATACAGTATATTTCATTATTTTGATTGCAATCAACGAAATCAAAAGCGATCCATTCTGTCGGGTAGCATCAACATAAAAAACATAAGTCAGTGGAACCCCAAAAAGTGAGATAGTACATTTTTAAGTCAAAGATTTGAAAATGAAGGATTCTCGCAATTCAGAGAATCTTGGCAGAGTAGGTCATTACCTAAGTTATTTGTGATTCTCACAAGGATGAAAAATACCGACTATTTACAGCATCGCAAGAAAAACAACACACATACGATGAGAACAAAAATTAACGTAATAATTGGATTCATATAAGAGAAATCCTCAAGGAAAAGTTGCCCCCTGCCTCATTTTTACGGCATGGGAACCCCTCTTGGTTTTCAGGCAATCACATTTCTGCCTCTTATTGATAACTAATTGCGAATGCAAGCACCGGTAATAATGAATATTAAAATGAGAAATGTTGAGCATGTACGTGAGCCCTACCGAAAGTTCTGCTACTATAGATAGAAGGCCAATAAGGATGAAACTTTGTGTGAATATGTATCGGTATTACATTAGAGTGAGCAGTTTGAGTTATATTTCCTGAGTAATTTCCATTTTAGAGAGCATGGTACTGTAAAATTCGGATTTTCGACTGATGATTTTCTGACCATAAGAGGAGCCAAAAGCAGGAGCAATCATTGAGCAATTTACAAGAACTTTGGGGGAACAAGCTCCTTCACGTGCAACTGTCTTTCGTTGGTTTGCTAAGTTCAAGCGCGGGAGAATGAGCTTCGAAGATGAGCCCAGCTCAGGACGGCCGCCATCAGCAGTAGTCCCAGGCAACATAAACGCTGTGGAGGAGCTAATGTAGGTGGATGTCCGAGTCACTTTGGGGTCACCGAGCATTTTGCTCGCCGGGTCTCCCACAACCTCTCTGAGGAGCAGGAGTTGACCACCAAATGTTTCCTAACATTCCGAGCGCGTTTAATCTTGACAGGTGGTCTCTCGCCAGGGAACACCCAAACTGAGGACTGTTGCTTGATCTCCGGGCAAAACTGGTAGATCCAAGTTTCATCGCCAGTTATAATTTTCGACACTTCCTTGGACCTCCCTCCTTTGAAATTACGGTGCATGAATTTGCGCCAACGCACACATGCCTCCTATTGCTCCTCAGAGAGGTTGTGAGGAACCAAGCCAGCACAACGCTTGGTAACCCCAAGGTGGTCGTGCAGGATGGTAACTGCTACCGAACCCATGTCTAGGGTCTCCCACAAGGTTTCATAGGTGACTCTGGCATCCGCCTGGATTAGCATCTCTACAGCGGTGATGTTGGCCAGGGTGACTTTTAGCGGCCCTACTGAGCAGGACTAATCTTTAAAGATCATTCTCCCGTGCTTACCCTCAGGAAACCAATGAAACACAGTTGCACATGAAGGAGCTCCGTCCCCAAAATATGCCTGCGAGTAGGTGAGTGATTGCTCTTGCCTTAGGCTCCTCTTGAAGTCTTAGAAAATCATGGGTCGAAAATCCGAATTTAAGAATTCCATGCTTTCTGAAAATTAAAACCACAACTGCATGAAAACTACCCATTGAATATGATTAAAACTACCCACTCGCTCTAATGTAATGCTCATATATATGTTCATGCAAAATTTCATTCCATTTGGCCTTGTACTTGTCGAGTACCTCATAAATTTTGTTGGGGCCCAAGTATTCATTTGCTTCCGCGTATTTATCCTCCTTATGGAAAAAGTACATTATCATTCGTATTGTTTTCCAAACTCCTATAGAGAAAAATTATTTCGGAATGGAATAGAAAAGTTTCTTCCTAGTAACTGAAGCAAAAATCTTCATTTGGAAAATCTAAAATTAAAAGAAAAAACTCAGTGGGCTCCATTTAACCAGAGCAGGAGGTCTAGAGTCAGAGCAAAAAAATGGACGTTTAAAAAATGTAGGGAATAAACAAGCCACTCTTCGAATTCGTCGCCCAGGTACGAAACGAGGACCACTTTCGGGATGCATGGTGGATAAAGGTTAAAAGAAGACCCACGCACAAGAGTCAACTGAAACAATCTCGTCTGACATGGGAAACACAGCTTTTACGTTGGTGCCCTGCCCATCTGGTGACCTTCATCTAGATCATCGGCAAAATTAATTTACTTGGGTTTCTCCACATGATACCCATTTGAAATTGCTGAAGGCAATCTCAACAAAGTCACTGAAATTTCACTAATATGAGCTAATTGGAGCTCCGGCATCAACTTCATGCATGAGGCTGTATCAAGTTGATGGATGCTCTGCATTCTATTAAACTAACGCCGACCAAACGATGGAACAACATACTAACGTTGTGGTGAGGGAATTCAGCGAATCATTGCTTCACGGTTAGACATTAACTATAATCCAGAAAAGGCAGTTTCATCAGAAAGTGAATGAAAACTGATCTCATCAGTGGGTGCCTCCCTCTTCTTTTATTCCTTCCATTTTACTTCCGGCTGGCCATTTGGGCCCACCCAGAACCTTTGCCCCCAACTGATTTGACACATTTTAAATTGAATATCCATTATCAAAGTCTATAAATCTAGATTTAATTCCTTCTTGATGGTGCTTATTTGATGAAAATTGTAATTTCATAATATGCTTCTTAGTAGCATCTTAGTAGCTTCATTTTCTTCTTAGATTATTCACAAATGTTTATGAGACTATATGTGTTGTTCTCATCCATCGCACAGGGAGATTGAATAAGCTTCCAATGTTGTCGAACCCCTTCAAGTATTTTTCCCTCGTGACATTCTAAGTTTTCGAAACCTCCTTCAGAAATCAAAAGGAAGAACAACAGATATGTTGGACGATGAATGGTTTGATGCATTAGAAGATATAAACGAACATAAAAACACAATTTCTGCAGAAGAAAACTTCCAGCAAAATCCATGCTCGCAGCCACAAGGACAAGATGGATCATACACAGAAAATGTTTGCTCCATGCAAAGCATACCAGGAAGAAATATTTTTGACATGGGAAAACAAGGCTGTCCAAAGCAAATTTCAAATCTGGAGCCGTTACCAATAAATCTTCCTAGCGTCTCAAAAAAGGATCAATCCCATCCAGTCATGAGGCTTAACGATTTGCCAAAGAGTACTGGTTTCCTTGCGTCGATGCAGCAGCTATCTAACTCAGACCAAAAGCAAGAGTCACTTGCTGCCGAAATTACAGAAGCTCGGCCGTCTGAAACCATTGATGGTTTAGGTGAAGCAAAACTTCCAGTGCCATATACGGTTCTCGGGGGAATGATTCCGCGACAGCAAGTCACAATCGCTCAAAAACGAGGGACAAAGATACAGGGTGACATAGTCAGCAGGTTCAAGCAACAGCAACCAGAACTTCATGGCCAACAACTGCAAGAAGACAGTTCTTCTTACGGCACCAATCAGCAAAGGCAACTGAGGAACCCTCAACAGCCTCTCCAGAGTCCGACTTTCCAAACAGGAAACAACCCGCAACCTTCCATTGGTATGTTTGAGTTATGGGAAAATGATACGATGCGTGTGCATCATCCAGAAACTTCAGAAGAGAAGCATATTCGTGAATATTCTTACTTGCATGAAACCAATGTGAGTCGGCGAACAATCCTAGAAAACACCCCAGGACAATTGCAAGACAACAATCGTGAATTACGAGCCATCAGGCCCTCAATTGATGCAAAATTATCACAATTTTCTGGCCACAACATGGGGAATGCACGTCATCCGCCAATGCTTCAAAACGACGCTACTGAAAAGTCCACGAATGCGCAATGCCACTTTCAGGCCTTGCCTGTCATGCCAATTATGCAAAGGTTTCCTGTAAGGTTTCCCGTACAGGGAACCTTTGGAAATCATCGACAAACGCAAGGTGTTTCTGGGAGCCCGGAATGTTTAACACCATTTCAAAATCAGCATCGACTTCCACCCGGTATCGGTCTCATAGAAGCTCCTGCAGAATATCCTGGATATACTACACTGGGTGGAACGTCGAATAGTGACTTTAGGCAGCAGCAAATTGGATTCATTCCAAGACCACATATTCAAAACACACAGGAACCTTGGAACATTTCAGGGATGCTGCCTTTTTCTTCTCCGGAATACCAAAGCCATATAGGGCAATATGAACAGCATCGCATGACCACTCAAGATCCAAATCAACAGGAGATCTATCAGACGGGACAACTCCAGCAACACAATGCTTCTAAAGAATTCTTCCGAGCCGCAGGACAATACAATCCACAATATGTATGGCCACATCAAGTGCAAAATCAAGAGCAAGTATACGTCCCTAAACCAGAAACCCTTATGCAACAATCCAGAGTCCCGTCTGCACAAAACCTCGCATCTTATGAGCGTGTAATGCGGCAAGAGCAATTACAACAGCAATGGCAGCAACATATGTATCAACAGAACCCTCATGCACAAATGTATCATGATCATAGTCCAAGGTTCACACGGGCCCCCAATCCGTATCAACAGGCACCGCAGCCACAAGGCCAAAATAGCACTCCCAGAGGGTTCATGTCAAATGAGGTTCCTCAGAATGTGGACCATCAACAATCACGATGGCAAAACGTTCCCCCAACTGGCCCTTTTACTGCGAGGCAAGAAGGCTACAATGAAGGACAAACTGTCCAAGATCATAACCAGCAGAACATACCTCATGAGTGAGTTTTTATATATATAAACATTTATATCGGGTTAATATTGACTTCCTTATATTGACAGCTCTGAGTTGATCAGGAATCAAGTGCAGCAGAATGCAGAAGCAACATATGAGACATGGGCACAATTGGCAAACTTGGTGCTGATGAATGTAAGCCGCTACTGGAATTTTTTGTGTAAACATGAAAGCGTTCTAGATATATGCTGCATGATATGAATGATACGACTATCCTGCTTTTTAGCAACAGTTTGTAGGTAAGTAGGGTTAAGGAAGCATGCTTTTCATTGAGAAATTAATAGTTCGATATTGGGACGTATTACTGATCAGTTCGAACACATTGACGAGAAAATGCAAGAATTAAATATATATATATGTTTTCTGTAAGTTCCAAACATATGGTTTTGCTGCATTTTTTGTACTGCAAAGTTTAAGTGATGCAAATAAGCTATTAATAACACTTTCGACATACTGTATTGATGCATTTTAACATTAGCCACAGGTATCTCATGAAAATAAGGATTTCAAATTCAATTTACCAGTAAAGCACTTCTTCGTTCCGATTTGACTATGCTGCGCATTACGTACAATAATGGTAAAGTATCAAGCCACCAAGTTGCTGGAGAAGCAACGAGCGCGTGGTAGCGGACTCTGTGAAATAAATGAAGGGGAGGTCTTATTTTCGCCTCCCACTTGAGGGAGGCGAAAAGTGAGGCCCACGTGCATTCCCTCCTAGGAAACAGGGGCATCCTTCAAAATTGAAATGTCACTGATTCGCCCAATTGCTTATCATGAATTTCTACGTTTACAGTTTTCTGTTTTGTTTTTTTCCCCGCATGGATATACTCATACACTTTGAGAACTCATTGAAATAGCAGTGCAATTGAATGTAAAGTAATGTACTCCGATTGTTTTACAGATTCCATCTAGAAGAAGTGATTTTATCATAGTAATATTAATTATGTAACAATACAGAATGGACAAGAAGTCAGGGAAAATATTTAAATTCATAATATTTCGGTAACTATTTCACGTTGAAATATGAGACTACCACCAAACTAAAGTTGATTAAATTCTATCTAAAGACATGTAACTGGGTATCGACCTGTAAGTCTGGTAGACAGCACACGATAAATGTTTGTTTTGTGTCCGACTTCACCATGAGACTGAGAATGCCGCTTAAGTTCAACGGCTAAACTAAACGTCTGCAAGAATGCTTTGAAAATGATTACCGATACGATTAGTAAATAATCTTCTAAGAGCGACGCATTTGTTTGTCAGCGTTTATTCAATGGTAGTCATAACGTCATTTCCACGTCGTATCGTTACGAAATTAATCATTTCCCTTTATAGCATATAACATTGAATCAACATTGAATCCATGTTTTTTCAATGTTATGTGCTACTAGGATTGAAACGTGTTTCCTCACATCTGGTCTGCCCTGTTTTGCTACTAAAAGGCAGTAATAATAAATATTACATTTTCTGACAAGTCACTGCACGTAGTAATATGATACAATACAGGCATCTTGTTTCGGAGAGGACTTTTTTTAATGTTGAGGGACATTACTCTTTTTCACATCCTTTGTACCGATTCTTGAATTTTATAGGCAGGGGCACCACCACAAGACATGGAGCAATTAAAGCAGTTGTTTCAGGATGCCATGGTAAGTCACCCGGATCGTGGCATTGGATATCTTACTTTCCAACCAAATTCATTTTTGATTGAATAACGGCCAGCAGACGAGGAAATGTGATGACAAAGAGGATTCGCCGGATGTGAAGCCAAAGTTGACACTGGCAAAAAGAATGAAGAAGCAATGCACGGATGATGACGGATTCATTTACAAGCTCAAGCGGAGAAAATTGATGGAAGATGAAGAGAATCGCTTGGCAAAGTATGAGATTGGCAAGCGACGACCTGACAGTGGAGAGGGGAAAGTACTCCTGCTGGTCGGAGCCACTGGATCGGGTAAATTTATTCACATGTATAATTTCTCCAGGAAGTGATACAAAAAATAGACCTTCGTATCTATATCTAAAATGCTACGTTTTTTGCAATATTTGTCACCTTGTGGCATTGCACCAAAAACTAAAAAGCAGCTATGGAAATAGCGGGTATGGAAAATTCAATGCACATAACGAGAACGATTAGATTTCTGCAATGATTCTGCGTCGGAACAACGCCCAGGCACCTCGATATAATTTGTCTTCATGAAATGAAGCGCAAATGTTACAATAGTATAATTATCACGTAGAAAGATGACCGCATCCTTTATTCCTTCACGATATGTCCAATCTTTGAAAATATTCGGAAGTAGCGCAGTTACTTCCAATTTACCTTTCTTCGACAGCTTTATCTTATACGTTGGCCTGAGTTATTAAAACATATTCAGAAAAGATCTCATTCAATGGAAGCTCCCTCGTTTCTGGGTTGTGTAAGGCAGGTTGTCATACTCCAAGACTGTGTGCTTGGTGAACACATGATGCTTTGGTCTATTGCAAAAGGAAATAAGTGAATTTATATTATTTCTAGCAATGGGGATTCCCAGCGAGTCAGACAATAGAAATTCTTGAAAGAATCTTAAAATGAATAAGATAATTCCGTTCTCTTGGTGTCGGCAGTATTAATGGTTACTGTTTATTTTGAAACTTTAGGGTGCAGAACAAATTAAATGGTACCGCTTTAAGCTGTGAGAGCTTTTCTTATTTAATGAGTCCAGGAATACTGATAGAGGCAGTCGGCAGATAAAGGTGCTGAAAATTGCAGAACCTTATTGTGTCTCTTACTTTGCCCTTAGTAAGAATCTCCATTTCTCTATCCAAGTGGTGGGCATTCAAACAAATATGATTGTCAGTATTTTCTATTTTATACAATACACGTTTTCGCGAGGTGGAAAATTCTCAACAGGAAATTCCTTGACTTCTGGCCCTACGCAAGCTGAGTTTTGGTCGGGGAAACTCTTACCAAGCTATGCACCTAATAGTCAATTTACTGAACCTTTTCCCATAGTTATGACTACTTTGTGGTTCTGCCTGCCCTTCAAGTAGTGCCTTATACAGAGGACTCTCTTTAACACAGAATCGGTTAACACGGCCTATTCTTCCTGCAAAAAGGCAAGTAAATCCGTTTAACACGTTTCCTCTTGCTTATGTTTCACCGTTTAAGCTGTGGAACTGCTGCTAACCCGATGATTAAACATCAGCATAGCGCTGCCGAGCAGAGAAGCTCAATGAACAACTCTCCCCTAGAAGATTAAAGGATAGGTCGCCCGCTCTTTGCAATAGCCTGCTCATTTGACGCCCGCTCTTTGCTGTTTTGACCCAGACTGGCTATGGCAGCAAATCGGAAGCATAAGGCCTTGTCTATTAGAGACAAAACTGATATAAGCAACCAACGTGAGGTGTGAAAGCATTCTGGCGAAGTCGACATTTAGCACCGTGTGGCAAAACCACGAGATAATATTGGAGGTGTTTAACCGTTCAAGCCGTTTTCACGTACACTGTACGTTCATCACTTAGGAGATTGAGTCAAAATTCAGCGCTTAAAGGGTTAATGCTGGTGAGACGCAGGGAAAACGGAAAAGGATGATAACTCGAGTTTCGGATAACACGAACGCGGACAGGTGAGGCATGTTAACTAATGTCCACTCTTAGATTATGCTGGTCTCCTGTGGAGTTCCTCTTAGTGAGGCATTCATAATTCACATATAATGAAACCCCTCCTCCCAACACCCCCTTTGAACAGACCACTCCTCTAAGGGACTGTATTTGTGGAAGGAAAATTTTTCCCGTAAGATTGATGCATTTTGAACCCCTTGGAGCTGATCATCCCTCACCCCGACCAACGACTGACTTTTCCATTCAAGGTTGAAACCTCTCAACACGACCACCTACATTCCCTTCTTGGTGCTTAAGGAGTATCTTATATACTAAGCACAGCCAGTCTCTATTTTATTGGGTTCCATGGACTTTCATTTGGTATTATTTAGGATTGTACCAATGCAACGGCAACCACACCAATGGGTGGCAAATATGACTCCATTGGTGCGATCAGCCATCGGTAGGTTTGCAAGCTGCCGATTCCAATGACCAAAGAAGAACATGCCTGACGAAGGAAACGAAAAAAACATCGTGACCGTGTGGATCGATGTATCGATGCCATTATCGATAGTTCGAAGCAAAAATCACGTCACTTTCCCGTCCCACCCCGATCATAGACGAGAGATGAGGAATGACAGAAAAAGGTCCGTGTCCCGATCAAGACAAATGATGATTGAATCTCCCTCCCACAACGTGATGCATCGAGGCCCCGTCGATGGCCAACGCTCAGGTCTGTAAAACAGCAATCGTGACTGCACCAAAATTGCCAAATAGAACAAGACTTCATAATAGCCCTTTTTGGAGGAGTATTAGTTGCGGATTTCAGCTCTTCATATACATGACGCTGTCGGCATCGGCACCGGCACGGACCGATGGGTACGAGATCATAATTGGTCATCGCCCCATCGGCCAAATGTTGCCACCGGTACAGCCCTAGGAATATTTGTTTGCGAGGAACGGATGGCTGCATCGATTCCGAAAACGAGAAATAATCTTTCGTTCTATCGGTGGAGTGAGAAGTTGTCGCGACGTGCATATTCCCTTTGAGACGATCACCCCTTCAGAATACCACTTTGAAATGGAACCATAAGAGGTCGGCTCAAAAGGGATTTCACAGCGTATACTAGGGCCAGATCAATGAAATCAGAAATTATTGGCTATGAACTGTTCATGCAGTGCTTATTGAAAATTCTGTTTAGGGGCATTGAGCTGCTTCTCCCTCCCCTCAACCTTATATTTCACGGCACAGTTGAAAAAAATACTTTGGCGTTCGTTGGCATCATGTTCGAATTACCTTCCACACCATTTCATCCACGTAGTATCCCCTGCCTACCATCGCCTGGACCCTCATCAAGTGCCACCATTATATGTTGACACCAGGTTTCATATCATGACATTGTTCAGTCAAAATAGCTATCCTCTGCAGTATGGTAGCGCCTCAGATGTGCGGGTCGAAAATCCGTGCAGACATTCTTTTGATCATCAGTCGGGCACTTCGATATCCATTTGACACGCAGTAAATGAAAGGAGGCTTTTTTTGACGATTTTGTGCTGACTCAGAGGTAATACCCACTTCTGGTGCTATGTCATCAAGAAAAAAGCGTCTATTTCCTCCAATAGCCTCGTACACCATCGCAATACTGTCGTCCGTAATGATGGCATTCGTTTGTTCGAATCTGGGCTTGTCCCCAACAAAAAGGAGACCACAAAAAAGTTCCCCGACTCATGGAGTTATATCTGGGGCGAATTTATCTCACCATAAACGGCAACCATTCCGTGAAGAATATCACGTGGCTTCCCACCTTCTGCATAGTAAAAACTAAAATAGAGTACTATGATGCTCCTTTTGAGCCTCTTCAATGGAAGAAGCCATATTTACCAGGTTGAGGCACAAGTAATCTTCAACAAGCAGTGGTGCCAATAGCATTTTTAATGCCTCTTCAATGAACATAAAACTTACCTACTGTTCCGTCACTCCTACGATTTTTGTTGGGATATTGGCTCTTTTGCGATTTTTGTTGACTGTTACCATAGTACATTATGCGAGGTATATACTAGCCTTTGTACCGTGTACCTTGACAAACAACGTATTCATGTCATAATCAGTTGGCTCATGAGCACCTGCATCTTTTTCGAAGGAAAGAGTACTCTTATCGACGGGATCGTGAATTACGCATACGGAGTGACGTGGGAAGACAAATTTCGCTTGAAGTTGATCCTGGAAGAAGGAGAGAAGTGTCAAGCATATAGTCAGACCAAGTGGATCTCTGCATACGTTCTACAAAAGCAACATGAGTCTGCTCTTCCGTACACATTGACTGTCATCGATACCCCAGGGTTTGGTGACACTGAAGGAATCAAGGCGGATGAAAATCTGAAGAATCAGATCAGGAAATTCTTCTCTAATGGAGGTAACATCGGCGTTGATCAGCTTGATGGAATCTGTTTCGTTGTCCAGGCTTCCCAGGCCAGGCTCACACCCACACAGAAGTACATCTTTGACTCGATCCTGTCGGTGTTCGGGAGGGATGTCGAAGATAGCATTTACGTGCTGACCACATTCTCAGACAACAACCGGCCGCCTGTGCTGGAAACTCTCAACAAGGCCGAAATTCCATACAAGACCCACTTTAAGTTCAATAATTCTGCTCTTTTTGCTCGATGTGATGGTGACTCCAGCGACTTCGACAGGATCTACTGGGAAATGGGCACCAAAAGCTTCCATAAATTCTTCAAAAAGTTTCAGAATTCGAGGCCGGTGAGCTTGACGCTGACAAAAGAGGTTTTAACAGAAAGGCGACGCTTGCAGACGGTGCTCAAGGGAATCCAACCACAAATAATCTCAGGTAGGATGAAATGTCTGCATGCAATTCCTAGCACTTTTTTTAATACCGACTTTCAAATTTTGCAAATTCAAATGAAACTGGTTCATATGCGTCATTTTGTATGAATGTCACATGCGCGTCACCCACACGAACAGGTTAACCCTGCCACGCATGGTTAGGGCCCCTATAGGAATTTGGTAATATTTTCTTCGCCGAATGTGACGCTTGGTCGGTGAGGCAGACTCTATTGATGCTTAATGAGCACAGCATATTCTCGACTGCCACAACTGCAATAGGTTCACATTAAGCTCCGAGGAAAACATTTGTATAGCCATAAAAAGAAAGAAAAGAATATTCCACGCCGTTCCACTCCTCCTTAATGGCCTCTTATGGTTCACCTAGACTCGGTAAAATGTTTTGATTCCGAGCTCTTCTATTAGGCTCATTCCACAAATGCTCAATGGGGTTAAAGGTGAGGAGACTGAGGGGCACCAGTCTAGCACTGAAGCATTGCTTCTTTGATGCAATGACTTTGGTCCTAAGGGCGGTACTATTGGGATCGTCGTCATGCCGAAACACAATGTTCCCCCTTTCGAGTTCGTACCAGTTCTAAGTTTGCTCAAAAACGACAATCAAAATATTTTCGTACTGGCACACATCCAGAACATGTTAATATTGCACAGATACTAAGCTCCTTAGAAAATGGATATCTTTGCAGACCCAAGACCATTATGAAACCGCCACCATAATGCACGGTCAGTAAGATATGATGGAGTAGAAAGGGTTGACCAGGCCTCTTTAAGCAAGATTTTCAACTATCAAATCGAAAGACCTAAGTCTTCCTTACATCAGACAACATTAAGCGATTCCAGTACTCAGAGGTTAAATATTTGTTTTTCTTAGCAACAATTGACCATTGGGTTAGATGCTTTGGCTTGAGGTACCGCTTTTTATATGTAATTAATTTCATCCCCAACGGCAAAGCGTTGCTTATGTTGTCTTATGTGCAGTAATTATTGAAAGAAGGTAGATGCAAAGGTTTTGAGGACACTTTGAGCTTTGACAGCGGTATTTGACAAAGGAGATTTAAAAAGTTGTCTTCAGTTGGAGTCCATTTCGTCAAATTTCGTTCATCACGTGATGAAATTGACATTTGACGGCCTGGAAAAGGTGAGACAGATGAGGGAGAAGGTGCACGCCAAATTCGGCCGACTGAGGAGGTATTGAAGTCCATAAAAGCAGCAATATTTTTCGGACGGAATATATCATTGAGACCTAAGCAGGCTTAGGACGCAAACACGGACGGAAGCGAAGAAAGGACGCATGGTTGTGATGACTCTAAATGCAAGGAAGAAACACCTAAGGCTATATTTATTAAGAGGCTTATGAAAAAGCCGTTTTTATTAGGGCTGTCACGATAGCAGTTTTCAAAGCATCGATGCATTGACCAGAACTATCGATAGTGCATCGATGCATCGGGAAGAGGGGGGGGGGGGGCGCCAGGAATCAATCGTTTCTCGCCGCGATCGGGTGGAGGTTTGTCTTCCATCGTTTCTTGCCTGTATCGGAGCGCGGACCACTATCTGGCTTCCATAAGCTCACCCTTGTGGTCGGGGGTGCAGGGGGAATGTGTGACCTTCGCAAAGAGTAATGAAATCTACCATGCCTCCAACTCTCGAAGATGACATCCATTCTTCGATGGATGTATCAGGACAACCCTAATTTCTTCTTATTGCCGTTGAGAATCAGCTCCCAAGCCCGTTCATGTAAATCTTTTTCCCTTTTTCTTTATTCTGCACTGTCTTTGGACATCGGCACCGGCAGATAGGAAACCTGCTGATGATGCCAAACCGGCGGTTGCCAAAGCTTCAGTACAGCCCTAGAATAAGCAATGTCCAGGTAAAATATTCACTTTGAGTTCACCTTAAGTAGAAATAAAATGCTACAGGGCGAGTTAAAATTGACTAAGTTAAGTCAGTATACTAAATCCAAAGCTTCAGTACAGCCCTAGAATAAGCAATGTCCAGGTAAAAGATTCACTTTGAGTTCACCTTAAGTAGAAATAAAATGCTACAGGGCAAGATAAAATTGACTAAGTTAAGTCAGTATACTAAAGAGACAGGAATATAGAGAGGGGATTAACCAATGTACGTTTCGAAATCAAGGGAGTATAAGAGCAGTCCACCTCTGCAGCATGTACCTGATGAGATCGAGCCGAAAACAGAAACAGAGAAGGAATATTCTCGGTCTTCCCCCCTCTCCCGTCCCACTTCCTGTCTCCGATCCGACCTGCTTTTTTCCCCTTCCCGTCTTTCATATAGTCAGTCCCAGAATTTCAAGAATTTGATTGTGATCAGAAATTGCTAGCCCATGCGGGTCACGCCGCTTTTTCCTTTCCCCGCCATTTTACTGTACTCATCTCAATTCAATGGGACATTTCCCCTTTAAATTCTTTTGCCGATGCATCGCGATGGTCGAAAAAACTATCGATATCTCCAACCATCGATAGTGGTATCGATGCATCGATCTATTGTGACAGCCCTAGTTTTTATCGCCATAATAAAAATTGAACCGTTAACATCAATTTGAGTCAATCTGGCCAATGTTGCCAAATTCTACATATTGTAGCAGATCAGTGCAGTAAGAAAACATTGAACGATTATTACATCAATCATTTCATTCTCTGCATGTAATATGAATTTGCAAAGTCACTATATTGACAGGTTCTGCTGTGTTTGAAACAAAAATTTAAACGAAAGGCATCGGGAATATTTTGACTGACACTGCGCATCAGATTACTTTCCAACCTTTCTGGACCCATGTATTCCCCTCCATTTACGTATATGTTTCCATCTAGGTTTAGGAAAGCTGGAACGGCTGAGGCAAGAGCATGCAGCATTGAAAATGCACGAGACAGAGTTGGAAATGAACAAGAGCTTCATGATCAAAGTGAACGTCCATAAGCTAGTAAAAAAAGACATGGACTATGGCGAATATGTAACAAATTGCCTAAGATGCAGTTTCTCCTGTCACTATCCCTGCATGATACCCCAAGACAACGTGAAGGACATGTGTTCTGCAATGGGCGTGGACATGGAGACCGGTGTTACAACACATTGTCTGGTCTGCCCCAACCACTGCCCGCCTGATCAACACGTGAACAATACCTATCGTTTTGAAATATACGAGGTAGAGGAGACAAGAACAGCTGAAGATTTGAAGGAGAAATATGAAGCTGCGGCGGGGAAGATGTTAGATGCTGAAGAGATAGTAAAAGAGCTCACAAAAGAATTCAACAGGGAAAGAGCCAAAATACTTCAACTGACCAAACAAGCTCATGCATGCTTGAAGAAACTTGACGAAATAGCCCTTAAGCCCGATCCTTTGGGGGTTACTGATTACCTCGACCTTTTGATAGAGACTGAAAAAAAAGAAAACCGACCAGGCTACCTTCAAAGAATAAAATACTTGGAAAATACACGAGCTAAGGCAGCTTTGGGTGAGATGCTCAAGAAAGACTTTGATCCATTTGAAGAATACACGAAGGAGTTTGAGGAAAAGGGTATCGATATCTCCATGTTTGACCCCGATTCTGGTAGCGATGATAATGAGGATGAATCTTCCCCCGAGTCCGATGAGATAAGCAACTGAGGAACCGTGGGACACTGAATGCAGACACATTGTTCGAACATTTTGGAACTGTCGATTCCAAGGGGGCTCTACAGAAAAGAAAACAGCTGTTGGCTGTAGAGTATGAATCCCAGAGTAAATGATCCTTTGTTTTTTACCATTGCCTCTCATAGACTCAAGGGATTGTAGTACCATGCAGAAGGGGTGAATGAGGACGATGCGACGAGTACGAAAGCAAGGAAGGTCAGAATTGTGCAACGCTCCTTACATGGCAGAGCTTCTCACTGCATGCGTTCTCGGTCTCACGATCTATTTTGATAATACTTTCCCGTCATTCCCATCTCATCTGACATGTGACTACGTGGTAGATATTATTTTTCAAAGTCTGTTATGTGTTTTGTGCCTTTCAACTGTAACTGTACATGATCCCCTATCGCACCAGTATGATACTGATTGGTGTTCTTCCAATAGCTGCTAAGGTGAAGATGTTACAAATATATATTTCATGAAGTAAAGTGAAAACTATTTTTCGAAGGTTCTCCCCATTCTTCAAAAAAGGAGCATCACCACTAACGGAAGAGGCAAGTATCTCTGCAAGTCAATATACAGGGTGGTCCACAAAATTGTGCAAGATTTGTTTGATGAGAGCTGAAATATATCCTATCAACAAGATCGTGACTGCGTGACGCTCATTCTAACCATGTCCTAGAAAAGTTAGAAATCTGAAACTTGGTACACATTTAGCTATTGGGGTGCTGAGTTCAGAAAAATTCAGACTTTGGAGGTAAATCCCCTGGAGGCACAACATTCATTGGGATATATTTTACAGCATTTTTTTTTTACTTCAGTCGCACGTAGAAACATGGAAAGGCTAAACTTTGCATGAACGTGACTACTGAGCCAAGGAGCTCAGGAAAAATGTATTTTTTGCGATATATCCCCTACGGCATATTTTTTTAGGGTGATTCTTTCAATTTATGTTTTTTTCTCCTGGCAATTGGGCAGAAATCGAAACGTGAAACTTGACTCATGCATAACTGGGATGATGTTGAATTCAGAAAAACGTAACTTTTGTGATGCATATCCTTAGGGCTGAGCTTTTGGCTGGGTCGGCTTTTTCCAAATATGTTTTTGCCAAAAACGGAAAGAGGAAACGGATAAGGCTGAAATTTGGTAGACACGTAGTTTTCCGAGTACTAATTTCAGTAAAAACATTATTTTGTTGGTTATTCCCTGGATGGTCCCTTTTCATGCCAACGGCGAATTTTCCAGAATCGTCTTTGATCCAATGAAAGAGAGAACTGAAGTAAGTTAAACTTATAGCAGAAGTTCCTGTTCGATTCCTGAGTGCGAATCCAATTCTTCAAATATGGCCCCTCAGGCCAGATTATAAAGAGATCTGAAGCTAGGTAAACAATACAGTACATAATCGGAGTAATTATTCGAAAAAAAATATCAGTTTGTCCCCTCATGACACATATTCTCCCTTACGGAAATGTCCTATAGGAAACCTATAGTTATTTCTTATTGGAAACCTATGGACTTTCCTATAGGTTTTTGAAACACGAAAAACCTATAGGATCCTTTAGGAGCCTACAGGATCCCAATACGAAAAACCTATAGGATCCTTTAGGATCCTATAGGATACCTATAGGGTCTTATAGGTCTCGTGACCTATAGGATTCAGAGAGGATATTTTGGGTTTCGAAACCCAGGCATTACGACGGAAAAGGCGACCGGGGTTAATATTGGCGGAGCATTTCGGTGTAAATAAAAAACCGATTAGGGGTTTTTCCATGGTAGGGGGGACATGCATTATTGATACCTGTACTGCGAGGGTCTGCATAATATATGACCCCGCCCAACATATGCCGCTGGATTGCCTGTATAATTCCTTCGTTAGAGAGAAGTAGTACTCTTCTCTCAACCTAAGGAAATATAGGACAAAACCTGCGAGCACGTCTCTTTACTGAAACTCCATTTGGATGGAGTCCACTCATTTTCGTACGTGGTTTTCAAAAGGAATAAGGGCATAATTCTTCACGGGACTCAATGATTCAATCTGGAAGATGGGGATGACAAAGAAGGAACTGTTGAAGCTTATTGATTGCTACAATGAGGCAAGGCGAGACATTTGGGTGAGAAATGTGACAACCCAATACTTCCATCTAGTGGCTTAGAGGAGAACTTCAAACGGAACCCTATAGGCCTATAGGGTTCCATATAAGTCCTATAGGGATCCCTATAGGTCCTATAGTGTTCCATTTAAGTCCTATAGGGAACCCTACAGGTTTTATAGGGAACCCTACGGGTCCTTTACAGAGCCCTTTGGGTCCTATAGGGGACCTATAGGCCTTATGAGGAACCCTATTGGTTCTATAGGGGGGTCTATAGGTTCTATAGGGAACTCTATAGGTTCTATAGGGGACTCTATAGGTCCCGAACTGAACTCTATGGGCATATAAGAACCTATAGTATTCCTTTAGGTTCCTATAGGATTCCTTTAGGTTCCTATAGGATTCTTATTGGAATATATAGGAATCCTATAATACATTTTCGTAAGGGCTGACAGGCATATAATTTTTCTACATTTTTGCCACTTCAAAAATGAAATAATACACCACTAGCCTGTACAATGAGCGCCGAAGGCGCACCATAGCAAATTCGTTTGCCCTTCGGGGAAGCAAACTCTCTAGTAAGAGTGCAGTATATAGACGATCGTGACGCGAATCGTGATCGTGAATGATTGACGCTAATTCCAACCACGTTCTAGAGACGTTAGAAATCTGAAACTTGGTAAGCTATTACGATGCAAAGTTCAGAAAAAATCCGACCTTTGAGGTACATGCCCAGAGGCTCTCAATTTTTTAGGGGGGGAAGAAGCTTTCAATAAAATATTTTTTGTTTTAGTCACGCGGAGAGACACGGAAAGGTGAAACTTGATATGAACTGATACACTGAGTTCAGGACAAACGTCAAGTTTCGGATTCATCCGCTGGGGGCATTTTTCTTGGGGATGACTTTTTGAAAGGATTTTTTTGCCATTGCAAATGGGGCAGAAGTAGAAAGGTGGCGCACGCATAACTGATGTGATATTAAGTTCAGGAACAATTAAAATTCTGTTGAGCACCCCTTTTGTTTGGGTCGTCCTTTCTAAATACATTTTTTCAGCAGCGAATAGGGGCAAACATGTAAGACTGAAAATTGTTGGGCATGTCGTTCAGGAAGTGCTGATTTTAACAACAATTTTATTTTAGATGAAACCGCTCGGAGCATATTTTTTTCAGGAGGCATATTTTTCCTGATATTTTTGGATACAACGAAAACGAAAAAGAAAGTTCAAATTTGGTACGGAAATAACAGATTGCTGAGTGATACAAAAAAAACCTAATTTTGAAGCATGTCCCCCCGGACGGATTATGTTTAGCTCAGACAAATGGGAACATACAAAGAGATCTAAAGTCAGTTACCCAATAAATCATCGGAGTAATGATTTCCGTAATAATCTCGATTATGCCTCGTAATGGCATATATTTTGACAGGGCCGTACTTTCAATAATTGTTTTTTTTTCATTTTGAAAAAGTCTTCATTCAACGCTGATATTCACAAGTACTCCTATCGATAGTAATGTATTTAGCGATTTTATTGGAAAGCGCTTATACAGGGCCCATACAGGGAAAGGGCTTTTTCATTAGGGAATATTCTACTAAAGATATTTTCGTTCCAAAAAGCTTCAAAGTGGAGAAACAGATAACTGATATTTGGTAAATCCGGCAGCTCTTGGGATACATATATTTTACGAAAAAAAATATATATTGAAGGTACATAGATGTAACTTGACAGACCAATACATATGCCTATCATCTCAGGAGTTTTACCAGATTGGTCAAAACATAGTTCATTTGCGCTTCGGGCAAACGAACTTGCATGTAAATTATATGTTTCATTTGTTTTATTCATTGACTGCAATACGGGAAAACCATACAGCCTTTAAAGAACGCTTTCTCTCGTCGGCTTCTTTGTATCATTCGTGAGTACTTTTATTTGTAAATGACTGAAGGTGATTCAAGCAGTGATGAAAGAGCATTTCGTTCTGCAATTCAGAAATTCTGCATTTTGAGAAATGGATCCCCACAAGGAAACTGCGGTGATGGACTTCTTTGCGAAGCCCTATGAACGCAAATGGTAACGAACTGGCTAATCGTCCCTTATTTCATCATCGACGCTTGAAATTGCTGGATTCCCTGCAGGGAGTTACTGTAGTGAGCGATAACAGAGTGCCCTTGCGAATACCACAGCAACTCTCGTAAATTCCTCCATCCGAAAGATGACGAGAAGACAGCAAATCTCCAATTTTCAATTAAAGTTCCCTCCTCTCCCTTTCGTGAGCTGATTCACTTTTTTCATTTCGCAGAAGCATATCCTTCGATGATGAGGACAATTCCTGTTGATACCCCAAGTTCATATCTCAAAGCGCTTGGCTTGTAGAGTTGTAACACATGCACAAACGCACATTTGTCGCTCCGCCTAGCTAGCGGTCAAGATCGCGCACACTATGTTTTACCTACGGACCTTGGTTCCTTCGCAACCGAGGTTCTATGGTGTGAAATACAGCAGATACCCCATTTGTGGAAGCGGTCGTTTCCCCTGAAAGTCATGGACGGGTATGTTGTGCGAATATCTGACATCCTCTGTGACGGGTCTTGCTTTGCCGTACTGAAATTCGTTTCGTTGGAAAGTAGCACTTGGATGTCTATTGCCTCCATCCCCCAATAAAAAATTGCATAAAAAGCCTATTTTTTTATACCTGAAAGCTGAAGGAAGTGTGACTTCTCATGTATACCTCAGTGCTCGATAATATCGCCACCACTACAGACCTCTACGTATGAAACCGTGGTTGGGGTTGCCAAGTTGCAACTTTCTTCGACTGCTTTGGCTTTTAGTTTGACAACAGCGAAATTTTGCGCTTTTTAAATTCAAGTCTTACCCTCCATATTTTCTGGACATCTGCCAACATTAATTGTTAATGTGACTCGAAACTATCTGGCAAAAAGCACACGAGAGAAGCTATTTTAGGGACACCAATGCCATTTGTGTCACTTAAATTAATTTAATGATCTAATTAATATGGAAACGAAGCAAACTGGATGTGGAGCGGTTTAGAACATGGATTACAATTGTGGGACTTGGTCTTGTTTGAGAGATGAAAATGAAGAAAATGAAATGTCTTCCAGTAACGTATTCGCAGCCTTACTTTGGTTTGATTCATTTAGAAGCAAGAGATATAAAAGAAGCATGCTTTTTACGCCTTTGTCTTCATCTTAGGTGAATGATAGTATTTTGCTATAAATGATGGAGACGGCATAGTGTTGAACTCTGAATGTTTAACGATGAATGCTATGAGAATCCGACTAGAAAGAAACTAATGTGAGAATTTCCCAAGCAAATACAGTGATATACATTTTGCTCAAAAGT